GGATCCAGTTCTAGTCCAATAGAAATAATTGCTGTGCAAGTCGTTGTGGTTATTAGGCTTTACAGCTGGCTTGGAACATGGACTGGTTTTCTCCTTTAGAAGCTTCATTGGTATTTTCTAGAATTATGTGTTAGTCTTCAGGGAGAAGGCTTCCAAGTGAGTTCCAGCTCCATTGCTTCAAGTCCCGTGTCTGAAGTACGTCCTGTTTTCAGCAATAGGGTCTTACCTTCAAGTTCTGGGAGATAATCAAGGGCTGTGGCAATAGCCTATGTTATTTTGGGAGTCTCTTGGACTGCCCTGACCAACAATTGAAAGGAGGTTTCTCCTGTCTGGCATTGTGTTCCTTGTTATATAGGCTGCAGGTATACACATGTGTTAATGTTCAGATATTGTATGTGTATTTTTTCAGGGGGGGGTTGAGTTAATACATTTCCCTCTGGCTTTTTACACCAACTAAGGTTTATTTATCTCTCCTCTCTCTCTCCCTGTCTAACCTCCCTCCTCCCTCCTGAGTTTAAGTATCCCCATTTCCCCTTGATAATACCTGTCTCCTATTCCCTCCCCATCTTGATTTCCTTCTTCCCCTTTACCCCCATGGTTTCTTGTATGACCTTCCCTCTTCCCTTCCCAGTTGAATACCCCTATTTCCCCTTGGTAACATCTGTTTCCTACTATCCCCTTCTTTCAGGCTCTTTCTTTCCCTTTACCTCTGTGCTTCCTTCCCATTTTCCTGACTCCTGGTATTACATTAGGATATATACTCACATATAAGAGATTAGTGCTAAGATCCACAAATGAGGGAAAACATACCTTGCTTGCTTTTCTGAGTCTTTATTACTTCTCTTAGTATAGTAGTTTCTAGTTCCATCCATTTACCTGCAAATTTCATGATTTCATCTTTCCTTACCATTGAGTAGAATGCCACTGTGTAAATGTACCACATTTCCATTATCCCCTCCTCAGTCGAAGAACATTCAGGTTGTTTCCATTTCTTAGCTATTGTGCAAAGAGAAGCTAGAAACATGGATATACAGGTATCTCTACAATAGGATGAGTCCTTTGGGCACATACCAGGGAGTGGTATAACTGGATCATACGATAGTTCATTTTTAGGTTTTAAGGGTTCTCCACACTGCTTTTCCTAATGGTTTCATGGGTTTGCAATCCCACCAGCAGTGAATGAGCATTCTTCTTTCTCCACATCCTCTCCAGCATTTGGAGTCTTTCATTCTCTTGATCTAAGCCAGTCTGACTGGGGTAAGATGGAATCTTAAAGTGGTTTTGATCTACATTTTTCTAATTACTAAAGATGTTGAGCATGTTTTAAGGTGTTTCTTAGCCATTTTTATTTCCTTGTTTGCAAACTCTCTGTTCAGGTCCTTAGCCCATCTTTTTATTGGGTCGTTTATTTATTTTTTTGTTTCTTAGTTTTTTTAGTTCTTTGTGTATTTTGAATATTAATCCTCTGTTGGATGTGTAGCAGGTGAAGATTTTCTCCCACTCAGTGAGTTTCCTCTTCACTTCCTTGGTTGTTTCTTTTGTTGTACAGAAGCTTTTTAATGAAGTTATTGTGAATGGGAGGGTTTCCATGAAGGCTTTCTATGATTGCATTTATTGACTTACATATGTTGAATCATCCCCGCATCTCTGGAATAAAGCTGACTTGATCGTGGTGGATGATCTTTTTGATATTTGTCTATGTGCACTTGTATTTGTTGAGCATTCTTCCTGAAGGAGCAGGCGCTGATTTCCAGGTTGCTAGCTTTGCCTGCACATGGGTGGACTCATAAGCCCTGCCCTCCACTGACCAGGGAGAAAACGTTCATTGGCCTAATTAGGATAACTCTGAACATTTGTCTCCTTTTATCTTGTTATGAAAGAAAGGGCTGCCAGTTCTACTGTGACCTTCCTAAATCTTCTTTTCCCAAACAGAAAGGGCATCCATCTTCTCTACAGGCTATTTTAGGGCTCAGGAGTTTGAGTGAATTCTGAATACCTCCATTGACTTATACTGCAACACAGAGGAAACAAAAACTGCTCTAGTCATTTTGCTTTGAGTTTATAGGGTCACCAGATTTTCAGATGATTCAAAACTTTGAATGATTTTTTTCAGAGTAGTCCCCCTTTCTTCTCAGGGGAGATAGATCCTCCAGCATCCTCAGGGATGCCCAGGACTGCAGGTACTGTTGAACCTTACATGTACCTTTATTTTTTGTATTACACATGCACATCTATAATAAAACTTAGCTTAGAAATCAGGCATGGTAAGAGATTAACAACAATAACTATTAAATATAACTATAATTGCATAGTGTAATCAAAGTTACACAAATATGGCTTTCCTGCTTCAAAATACCACATTGTTCTATGCACCCCCCTAGTGATGTGAGCTGTGAGCCTGAGGGGATGGAATGAGGTGAATGACAGGCATTGTGGTAGTATGTAGTTACCGTAAAGGGCTCTTTCGGACACAGGCTCTGCAGGGCCACACTAGTGGATCTGGTAGCTAATAGTGCGGTGGAGTGAGCAGTGGACAGTGAATGCAGAGTGGACAGAGAGGCAAGGTGAGAGGGAGCCGGGTGGAGCAGGATCCTGTGAGATTTCATTATGCTGCTCTGAATAGAGCAGGATTGAAAACATCAACTGTTTATCTCTGGAATTTTCCAGTGAATGTTTTTGGATACAGTCCATTGTGGGTGACTGAAACTGTGGGATGTGAACTCTCAGATAAGCAGAAATTGCTGTCTGATACCCTCGTGCCAGGTTTGCAGGGGCTGTCCCAAATGCTGGAATTCCTGTCTTGAGTCTGTGACTAATTTTTCATTATTATTTTTATTTTATGTGTATGAGTGTATTGCCTGCCTGTGTGTAAGTGTACCTGTGTCATGAAATGCTTGCTGAGGCAGAAGAGGGTATAGGATCCCCTGGAGTTAAGGATGGTTGTTAGTTACCATGTGGGTGCTGGGAATCAAACCCTGGCCTTCTGCAAGAGCAGCTAGTGCTCTTAACCATGGAGTCATCTCTCCAACTCTGACTATATTTTTGTATGACCTTGGGTTAATCACTTAACCTCTCAAGTCTTAGTTTCCTTGTTGGTGAAATTAGGGACTAGGCCATGATTTATTTGTTTGATACTACCTGCCTGCTTATGGTCTTAATACTTTTTAGTAAGTCTTTTTTTTAAAAAAAAAAAAAAAAAAGAACCACCACCAGATTTTAACACTTTTCGAGTAAAAGGAACAGACAAACAAATAGCTACCCTGAAAAGAGCTGACTCAGAGCCGCTAGCAAGTAATACACAGAGGAGAGTGACAGAAACATAAAAATACACAAAAATATAAGAGCACATGAAGAATAAGATCTACGTATCGTTCTGTCATATGATTTTACATAGTCATTGTGTGATTTCAGTTTAGGAGAGAGTGCTGCTGCTCAGTTAGAGGGAAGTGGGGTGCTCCCAGTGTGCCTCAGCACTGGGAACAAGGGAGTCATCTGGTCTAGCCTTCTTCCTTCACAGATGGTAAAATCAAGGCTTTCTTTCCACTAAGATCAGAAATAACCTACCAGGTCTGCTATTATCACTGCAGTTTTACATTCTTTGGAATGTCCTTGTACAAAGACATGAAGTGAAGTTCAGTTAACAAAGGTAGGAAGTTTAAACTAAATAAACTTACTGGAAAAACGAATACATATACATGGTTACAAGCCTGGAAAAGCAAGACAATGTACTCACCTCAGTAAAGTATCTGACAGTGTGAGCAATGTTATTTTAAATGTGAAAAAGCTTTCCTGTAGGCCAGCAATAATTAAAAACTAATCCCATTAATAAAAAAATAATGTACAAGAACAAATCTGTCAAGCTACAGTGTGGAAACAAAGGCAAAGCAGAATAAAACCAAGATATTTTACCAATAGAAGTACTTTCAAAAATTGAATTCCTGGGAAGATTTATTCCTCCCTTTAAAGTTGCGTTTAGTTTTATGTGGTATAGTTCTTTTCAAACAGTTAACAATTTAACATAGACCTAAGAAAAACCTCTAATAAAATTTCCAAGAAAACTGATACCTCACCCTGGTAAAATCTTTTGGGAAATCAGTTTGGCGTTGTAGACATTCATTAGCATTCAGATTTCATACCCTTCACCGCAGAGTTTTCGTTTCTGGAGCTGGAATCCATAAACTATCGCTAGAACACGCGCAATGGGCAATGCAAACCCTGTTTTCACTAGGTATGGACTATGGTTTAGCGGTTTAGTAAGCGCTTAAAGCGCTTAAAGGAGACTTAACTTTTTTTTTTTTTAACAACGTAAAACCATATTATTGTACTACATTTCTTTCAACTAAACATTTATTATTATTATTATTATTATTTGAGACAGGGTCTCCCTGTAGCCCCAGCTGGCCTGGAACTCACTATAGACCAGACTGGCTTCGATCTCACAGAGATCCACCTGTCTCTGCTGGGACACACCCAGATCTTGTCAACACCATAACAAGAATTCATTTACTCTGAGATGTAGGAGGAATTTCAAATTAAGACACAACACAACAATCCTTCCTGGGCTTGTTTAATGTGAATAGAGAACCCTAGGCCATTCCCTAAGGATCCTGCTAAGCCATACATATTGTTTTATGATGCTTCAAGGAAATGATTTAGACACTAAAGTTTAGACAGATTCTTGGCAGAGGAGTCTCTGAAGATCACTAGGGTCTAGGGATCTAGGGACGGCATTCACACTGTGTGTTTTTTTTTTTTTTAATGGAGGACTTTGGCAGATTTCATACTTGGGCAAAGCTTTGTATGTTCCAAATTTGATGGAGCATTTCTTTTTCTTTTCTTTCTTTTTTCATTTTAATGGACCATAGTGTGGAAGTAATCCGTCTAGGACACAGTTATTTTATAAACTGGGATCGCAAGATGTATTACTCTGGGAAAGCAATACCTGCTGAAGCTCGGACGACCACACTCAATGAGGAACTGGGCCAGATTGAGTATGTTTTCTCTGACAAAACGGGAACTCTCACACAGAACATCATGACTTTTAAAAAATGTTCCATTAATGGGAGAGTCTATGGTAAGAGAAACAGCTTCTTTCTCTTAATGATATTGAATGTTCTTTAAAAATAAACAAGCAACATCAGTTTTAAAAATAATACCTCTATCCTGTGTCCCCCGATCATCATGACTTTCTTATTTAGGTTTTGCCATGGTGCTTGTCAGGTAATGAATACTCACAAACTAGTTACTGAACACATTTTGAATTTAGATGGGTCTTTGGCTCTGTTGTCATTCATGGATAAAGAAGATTTGGAAGTGACTGTCTCCCAGGCTCCCTTCAGCACACTGTTGTGTGGGTTAGCTCTGCGGTGCTCTGTATGTATACCAGTTCTGCTAGAAGGATGAGGTCTGGGCAGCCTGATTTGCCTTGTTAAAACAGTCCATCATGTCTCCTTCCTGTTAGCTCTGGATCAAGGTTAGTGCATGTGTTTGTGAGAAATTACCATTTATTCCCTGAAATACACCATTTTTAGGGCTACCTTGATTGCTCAGAAGAGATATTTTCATCAATCCAAATTTCTTTTGTCCGGATAAATAATCTGTATTTGGGTTTTTTTCAAGCTGGCTCTTTTCAGCTTGACGTTGGCCTATTTCTGCAGAAACTCTTCTGTAGAGAACATGGAAGTCCAGTGGGACCATCTATGGTGTTCCTCTGGACTCCCTACCTTACTTCGCAGGACTCAGAAATTTTGGAGAGTAAAGGAAATCCAAGAGATGGTAACTTTTTCTTTGTAGGAAATGACATATTGCCAAATATTTTAAAGCAGGATTTGCCTCTGAACAAAACGAAGGATTTGACAAAGTTGATGTGCTATGCTATCCTGACTTTTGAACTTCCCTCTCTGTGAACCCATGCCATAACCCATGCCATCATCCTCAGATCTCCTGCCCCCAGCTCTCCATCTTGCCTTCTCTGGTAGTGAATGGCTTCCAGCCTGAGCTTTCCTGAGCTCTCAGCTACTCTCCATATGTCTTATATCCACATCATGACTTGTAAAATATCATAGAACCTTTCTTTAAGAATTGTTGACATTATTTCCAGAGAGTTTCTAAGAATACTGCCTTGAACTAAACAGTGGTGTAAACAAGACAATTTTAGAATATTGGAAGATATTTCAAATTTGGGGCATCCTTTGGATTCTTTCGTTCATATTGATGTAGTAAATATTTCTAGGAAGAAGTCTGGAACTGTTAGCCATGCGGACAAGTAACCATTTGTAGAAATGTTTATTGCAGGCTATTTTTAGAGGTAACGTTTTGACTTTCATAGGTATCTCAAAATCTTTGTAAACTTCCAAATTAAAAAAAACCCATGACAGTTTATAATTCCTCTCATAAAACACAGGAAAGTAACTAGAATATTTAAGTAATCCCTTTGGCCTCTAATTTATATGCCATTACAAATTATAAATGAATTTATGCCCTTAAAATCTATTCTTGCTAACACACTATGAGAATGTTCAAAATCACTTTTTCTGATAAAATTCATAAAATTCATAAATCTGGGCTTTGGTAAATTTTTATTTTTCACTCTGACCTATCTAAATCTTTTCTTATTCAGAAATATTATCTTCTTAGACTTTAATTTTTTCTTCCACGTGAATTGGCTTTCTTTAGGGGAGACCATTTAACACAAAGGCAAAATTGTTTTTCTTCCCATCTTTTCATTAGAGTGAATGCATGTGAGATAGTGGTACATATATAGCCATGTGAAATGGAGATTTAAATTTCTGGTGCTTGGCTAGGTTCATTACTAGCTCAGCAGCTCCTTCCACACATCTACAAAGCCTTCCAAATTCACACTGTCACCCCAGAGAAACCACGAATGGATGGTAAGTATGGTTGTCATATAACTATGTATGAAGAAGGAAACCTAGGTTCAGACACCCACCGTGTTGACTTTTCTTGTTTGTTTAAAAGTATATTTTGATTTGTTTCTTCCTATTTTATGTGGATGTGTATTTGCCTTCATGTTTGTAAGCACACCATTTGTGTACAATGCCCACAGAGGACAGAAGAAGGCATTGGATCCCCAAAACTGGAGTTATAGAATGGTGTTAACCACCATATGGGTGTTGAGAACTAAATCTGGGTTTTATGCAAGAGCAATTAGTGCTTTTAACTGCGGATACATCTCTACAGTTCCCCACTTTTTCATTTCAAGTTAGTTATTCCTCTCTGATTCTGTTTTTCAGTTCTGTTATTCATAAAACCAAAACAAAGAGTTTCATATTGTGAGCTTATATATTGTAAGTAATAGTGATAATATAAGTGTCTGGTACAGACTGATGCAGGTAAACCACTATTATTACTATAAAATAGAAATTCTATTAAATAGTATCAGGTATGATAACACCTTCAGATACAAAGAAAAAAATGGAAAAATCCTAAAGTTTCCACAACCTTCCCAAATAGCATCACTAGTCAGGGACCAAATGTTCAAACAAGGGAGCCTATGAGAGAAATTTCACATTCAAACCACAGCATTCAATGCCTATGTTTCTTTGGTTCATGGCCATCTCTTGATACAAAATGTGTTCATTCCAACTTCAAAATCTCAGTAACCTTTAATGTTCCCAACACTGTTCAAAAGTCAAGTCTCTTTTGTGAATCAAGGCATTTTTTTCTTAACTGCGACCCTTTGTAAAATAAAGAAATTACATACTCCCAATGTAGAATGATACAGAAAAATATTCACATTTCAAAAGGAAAGAAAAAGGTATAGGAAGGAGTGATCATATCAAAACAATATGGTAAAGCAGGGAAAACACAAAATTCTGCAGCTCGATGCTTGGTACCTAGGGCTCATGATAGAATCACCTGGACTCCCAGTGGATCAGGCAGCCCCACTCCTCCAGCTCAGCACTTGTGGCATGCACCTCTTTGGATCAGGCAGCCCCACTCCTCCAGCTCAGCACTTGTGGCATGCACCTCTTTGGATCAGGCAGCCCCACTCCTCCAGCTCAGCACTTGTGGCATGCACCTCTTTCTTGAGCTGGCTGCATTCCAAGCCCACAGCTTTCCTTAACAAACATCCCACAGTCCTGTCAACTTCAGCATCCTAGGACTCCATTGCAACCTAGGCTTCACCTTCATAGTTTCACACAGTAGCCTCTTAAAGCCTTTTTTCAAGGACTCCAACCCTAGTACACATTGCCTGGCTTCAGTAGCTCTCTGAGACAATGGAGGAAGATTCCACAGTCCCCTCAATCCTGTACCTTTCATGCCTGCAAAACCAGTGCTAATTGGCAACAATGCCAAGTTCTGTTTCCACCTTGGGATGAAGCCTCCTCCTTTGGCCCACAGTTGAAGCAGCCTATGTATACCAACTCTGGGGAAATAGTTTTCTGGGGAGTTGCTTTGCTGACTGCAGGAAACCCTTCAGCATTCTGAGCCTAGGTTCTCTCCTTTCAAATGAATTTGCAATTTTACAAGTAGGAGCTTTTAATGGATGAGGTCTTACCCTCAGGACACCCTTCTTACTGTCCCAGTACAGAGTAGGAGTTTCTTTTTAAGGGTACCAATCCATTTAACAGTTACAGCTGCTTTGTCCTCTACACTGAGCTAGCTCACAGCTCTAAGCTTGCTCAGACACCTTTCCTTGTGTTCTACTTGTTTCTCCCTTTTACTATAGACCTGAAGGAGAGCAGGGAGGGGTAGTCATGACTTGACATTTCCTCCGCCTAACAGATTAGCCAGTTACATTTAAAATTCAGCCTCATTCAAGTTCAAGTTCTTAGCATTTTGCCAGATTCTTTGCCAGAATAAAGCCTGGATAGTTTCTAGCCCAGCTCTCAATGGAATCCCTTTCTCCTCTGAAACTTTATCAGCTGGGCCTACACAGTCTGTATGTCTCTCAGCAGTCTTATCTTCCAAGCTTCAGCAAAAAAGCTTATCAAGCTCTGCTTCTAGTATGCTAGGGATTTTCAAGTCCAAATTACTACAAACTCTTCCACATTCTAGCCACCAAATAGTTCTAAAGGTCTATGAACCATATGGCCAGGTTTCTCACAGTACTGGATCCACATCTAGGTACCGGGTACCAGTTCCTTTATTAGTTACTCTAATGGTTTCTGTGATAACTATCCTGACAAAAACAACTTAAGGGAGGAAGGATTCATTTTGACTACAGTCCAAGAGGGATACTATCCATCATGGCAGGGAAGATGTGGAAACAGGCACAGAAGACATGGTGGCAGGAGCAGGAGGCTGGATGGTCATATTGCATTCATACTCAGGAAACAGAGTCTGAACAAGAAATAGGGGCAGACTATAAAAACTTAAGGCCCATCCCCAGTGGCACAGTTCTTCCAGTGAGGCTACACTTCCTATGGATTCACAACTTTCCCAAGTAGCACTGCAATAGGGGACCAAGTGTTTAAGCACATGAGCCTATGGATGACATTTCACATTCAAACCACAATAGGTATCATTTTGGATTCTTCATCAGTGGGGATAGTATGGAAGATAAAAATTTGGCTCCTTCAGGCATCCAAGATAATGTAATAACATAATGACAGGCTCTACAGCAAAAACATAATCACCTATTTACATAATTTTACTCTTTAGTTTTATCTTATACATAATTATCTCTACATTAATTGCTTTGTCTAGGGCTATAAATATTGTACCTTCATGAATTTATATTCCATATGGTAGTGGTGCTTTAAGAAATAAATTTTTTTCCTAAAACTAATATCCAAAACTAGTTTAAATTTTGCTTACTTTTGGTCCTCAATGTTTGTTTCTGCAGGTGAATTACAAGATGACCTGGACCAGAAGAAAGAAATAACTAAGGTATCAAAGAGATAAAATTTCATTTTTTGGTTTTAAAATGTATCAAGTTGTATATTTCTCTGAAATAGATACATTTCTAAAGGCCTGGTTAGATGACCACCCATGAGACATTTACTCTATAACACAGAAAGAAATAGACTCAAATGGTTCAAAAATTTATTTTTACCCCAAACCCTAATTACACAGTTCCCAATTCCTTAGAGATATTCCAGCATATGAAGTAAATATATGTCACCATTTAAAAATATATGATAATACAAGATACATACAGTATGCCTTGATCCTGATTTCGAAGGAAAAAAAAATTACTTTCTCACTGCTGAATATGATATTAACTGGGGGCTTTTCACATATGACTTCTATTATGTTAAGATATTTTCCTTCTGTTCATCTCTTGTTGAGAGTCTTTGGAACATAAGGGACTCAATTGTCAAATGCTTTCTCTTAATCATTGGCTAGTCATGTGGTTTTTACTTTTCATTCTGGTATTGTGGTATTTCATGTGGATTGATTCTCATGTGTTGTATGACCTTTGCATCCCAGGGATAAATTCCACCTGGTTGTTGTCTATGAGCTTTGTAATTTGCTGTTGGTTTCAATTTGCTAGCATTTTATTCCTCAAATAATGCAGCTATGTTTACTGGAGATATTCTTTTCTGGTGTTATCTTGGGTTTTGATGTTAGACATTGCCTCATAAAATTAGCTTGATTGTTAGCTTTAGCCTTCAATGGCTATATCGTCTCTCTAGCCCATAAAATCAGCTTGGGAGGGTTCCCTTTTTGATACTTGGAAAAGTTTGAATGCAGTTGACATTAATCTTATCTTGAATGTTAGGTATGTTTTACCAGCCAAGCCTTTTTGTCATTGGGTTTTCTTTGTTGGGCTTTAATTTTTTAATTATTATTATTTTTTTTATTCATCTGTTTAGTTTTTTTTTCTAAATTTTTATCGAGTTTTTGTACATGTCACACAACAATTCTTTTTCTTTTTTTTTACATCCACTTCCCAGATAGCACCCTCCCATAGCCTCCCTCCCCGCACTAGAGCCCTTATACTCTGATATCCCTGCTACTGTCTGCTGTGTTGTTGGCACCCCAGCCAATCCCCACTACTTGTCCTTCTGGTGAATCTAGTCAGCCTACCTAGAGGTCTTTGTTTTAGGAGGGTCAGCTGTTTCTCATCTAGCAGCAATCAGTTGTCAATATTCCTTTAGATGAGATTGGGGTCTGCTGTTCACTTTTCCAGTTCTATGCTGGGTTACTATCTGGGAGTCCCTTGGGACACCCTGGCCAACACCTCACAAGAAGGTATTGC